GAATGGAGAGAAGGAAATATAGGATAAAACTCGAGGTTGCAGTGTGTCACAGAGGCTCTGTTCAGGTCATAGGATGTGAAGGATACGTCTTGGGAAAGAAAGCTTCAGTGTGATCCAGTTGGCTATAATTAGAAAACGTGTTGGTGAGTTTTTCTAAGAATTCAACATGAATAAAGGGACCAGGTCAGTGAGACAGCTGTGGGCATGCTTCCATCCACACCTGAGAAGCCAAGAAAAGGAAAAAAGAGCTGCTGTTTCAGTGCAGTGACCTGGATAGAGCACTGGAGTGCAGCAGGGTGTGTCAGAGATGCAAGGAGCTCAGAGACAAGGGTGGACCTTATCAAGAGGGAACACAGCTCTCAGCACCTACTGTCCCAGTAGAGACCAAGCCTGAACCCAGAGGGATTTCACACTGCAGGGAAGGGGTGAGCAGAAGGTCCCTATTCAGGACAATGACACCAGGACTGTGTGCCCAGCAATCCCTGAGTTTGGTTTAAGGAGCAGCCAAGGAATCCACACTCTTGCATAATCTTGGAAAAAGGGCCTGATCCACATTGTTCCCTCCTTGACCTTCCTCCTGCTACAAACCACAGCCTATCAGTGCAGTCAGGTGACCCCATCCATTGTCCTGTGGCCCTGGGAAGCATTCCAATGGCCCTGGCCCAAGGTCCTATTGCCCTGGGAAGGATTCAGGTGGTCCTGCTCACCCTATATGGACCTGAGAAGTGTTCAGTGGCTTTGCCCACCCTCTTATGGGTGTATAGCATTCAGCTGCCCCTGTACTCATCCTGTGGCCCTAAGTACTAGCCCCGCAGCCCAGTAAAGGAATTGTTTGTGCTGTTCCATGGCCATACTTTTGATGACCTCCCCAAATGGGCCAATTCCTTAAAAGGAAAATTTTGCCCACATCTTACAAGAAGCCTATTACCTACACAGATTGTATCTATTACAGTGATTGAATCAATAATTAATAACTTTCCAGTACAAACAGCACTGGGCTTAGATGAGCCCACTATGAGTTCTTCCCACCCTCATACAGAGAAATCCTATGGAAATTCCACAATCTCTTCCAGAACACTGAGGCAGAAGGTGCACTTCCTTGTGCATTCTGTGAAGCCAGCATTTCCCCAAGACCAGAACCAGAGATGTCACAAAGAAAGAATCAGAGAACAGTTTTCTCATGAACATAGATGCACAAATACCAACAAATGGAGTTCAACAACGTAGAAAATGAAATATGTGCCATGACTGGGTGGGTATATATCAGGCATGGAAAGCTGGTTCAGAGTCACAAATCAATTGACACAATTCACAAGTGAAAGTGGAAACTTCACATGATCATATCAATAGAGGCAAAACAGGAATGGGCCGCAATGCAACATCCACTCATGATAAAAACTCTCAGCAAGGAAAAGGACAGGGAGGTCTTCCTTGCAGGGTTAAAGAACACTAGGAGAAACCTAAGCAGCACTAGGGTAATGGCAACACAGGGGAAGACTTCCTGCTAAGATCAGAGACAAAGCAAGGAAGGCCTTTCCCACCACTCCTGCGCAGCACAGCTAATGTGACAAGAAAAAGCAAAGAAGAACTTAGATTGGGAGGAAAGACAAGCAGATGCTACTCACAGGTTATGTGATCATCCACACAGAGCATTTGAAAGAGTCAACAAAATACTGAAAATTAAAGGCAGTTATCCCAAAGCCCATAGTTTTTCTGGGTATCCACAATTGACAAATAGAATTGGAATTAAAAACACAATATTATATGCATTGGGGATCATAAAAATGAAATGCCTGGGCCTAAAAACAGAGTAGGCACAAGACCTGAATGAAGAAAATGAGCTCTGGTGAAGGGAGTCAAGCAGGCCCGGAGCGAGTGGAGAGGTGCTCCATGCTCAGGGAAGGAAGATGGGCCAGGGGGTTACCATGATGTCAGTCCTTCCCAACTTCATCTGTAGGCTCGAAGCAACCTCAGTCCAAACCTCTGAGCGTTGTTTTGTGGATATCAACTAACTGATTCCAAAGTTAATAATAATAAGAAAAACCCAGAATGGCCAGCACCATAGGGAAAGAGAAGAACATCTAAGAGCCCACACACTTGTCATCAAAACGTACTGTTAAGCTGCAATAACAAAGGCAGCATGGTGTTCGAGAAAACCAGACTGACAGAGTCAACGAGTAGAGGAGGAAGGTCTCCCACAGACTCAGGCCTGGATGGAAAGTCGGTCCTTGACAAAGCAGCAAAGACCCGCAGTGTGCACATCAGTGTGCTGGATGGAGTGGGCATCCTCACACCACAAAGATACAGGGACCAAGACAGAGAACTTGCACCCCTCAGAAAACTTTATTCCACCTGTGGATCCAAATGTAAATGGCAAACAGGAAGCTCCTTGAACATGTCCCAGGGGAGAACCTGATGACTTTAAGTCTGATGATGACTTCAGGCCAGCAACAAAGGCATGCTCCATGAAGGAAAGGGTGGAGAGGCAGCACTGCCTCGAGGGAGAAGCTGCTGCTCTGCACAGGACCCGAGAGCGAAGGAGAGGACATGTTAGCCACAGGTACCTCCCACGAAGGGCTGTCTAAAAAAGCATGCAAAGAGTTCTCAGAACTCAGCCACAAGAAAAGGTCACATCACAAAGTGGGCAAAAGATCTGAATGGACGTCTCATAAAAGATGGTGTACAGATGGAAAATACACATAAGAAGCTCAGCTTCACGTGTCATTAGAGAATAGCAAATTCAAACAAAAAGATGACATTACACAGCTCAGAGAATGTCAAAATCCAAAAAAGTAATACCACCAAATGCTGGCAAAGCTGTGGAGCGAGGGCAGCTCTCATTCATTGCTGGTGAGAATGCAGAATGTCAAAGCACTTTGGAAGACAGAATCATACAGCCCAGCAATTTTGCCCTTTGCTGTTTATGCATGTGAGTTGGAAGCAAAATTCCCACAAAAACCTGCTGGTGACTCTATTCATAATTAGCAAAACTTGTAAGAAGTGGAGATGTTCTATAGTAGGTGAGTGGAGAAAGGGCAGCATATGCAGAAAATGGAATATTACTTAGTGCACAGAAGAGATGGACCGCTGTGTGTGGTGGCTCATTCCTGTAATTCCAGCACATTGGGAAGCTGAGGCAGGAGGATCCTGAGTTCAAAGCCAACCTTAGCAACAGGGAGGCACTGAGCAACTCAGTGAGACCCTGTCTCTAAATAAAATACAGAATAGGACTGGGGATGTGACTCAGTGGTCAAGTGCCCCTGAGTTCAATCCCAAGTAACCCCCCCAAAAAAATGGACTGCCAGGAAGACATGGAGTTAAATTTGAATTACTAAGTGAAGTAAGCTAAGCCAGGAAGGCCGCAAACTGTATGGTTGCAACTCTATGACATTCTGGAAGGAAACCCTGGGGGTAGGGGGAGTAGAAAGGTCAGTGGTTGCCAAGGATCAGTGGAGAAGTGGGGTGACCAAGCAGGACACAGAGGGTGTGAAGACAACGCTTCCCCAAGATGCCCAGGTGGGCATTGCCAGTCCACATTTGTCAACCAACAAGATGTACACCACGCCAAAATGTGAACAAACGGAGGCTTTCTAGTGACAGTGATGTCTCTCAGGGTGACCAAGTGTGACAGCAGATCTCTGGGGTGCAGAGTGTCTTGTCATGTGCAGGGGCAAGGGCTCTATGGGTCTCCTCTGTACTTTCTGTTTGGGTTTTTGGTGACAGCAACAGCACCGGAAGTGCTTCTACCTGCAGGCGCACTTCCTTAGGTCTGACTGCATGGTTAGAATATCCCTGGAACAGTGGTCCACCTCAAGCTTTCGAGTATAGCCCTTGCTGCTCTGCCACAGAGGCTTACTTTAAAAGGGACATGTTTTCTTCTCCCTCTCCCAAATTAGCAAGTGAATTTCAACACTCCCCCCATCTGTCAAGGCAGACCTGGAATGTAGCCCTTGAATCTCTTTTGAAACCCTCTGTTTCCCCCAGGGACAGGAGTCCCCCGTGTTTCTTTTTTGCAATAAAACTTCTTTTCTTTTTTTCCAAACGATGTCCTCATTATTGGCACTGGAGACAAGGATCGAGTGTTTGGTAATAACTCTGCACTATGAACTCCAAGGGACAGAGATGGTGTACATTATACCCACATTGTACCCAGTACTGTACTTATGCTCTGGCACATGGAATGCTTATTATTTCCTAAATCAGTGACAGCATGAATGAACAGGGTTTCTGAGTGATCCAGTTCTCTCTGTCATCTTATTCCTGTGGGAACTCTTGTGGCTGCACTAGGCATTCCTTACCACTGGAGCGAAAGCAGCACTTGGCATTCTAAGAGCTCTGGAGATGTGAAGAGAGGGAAACCTCAGATAAGGGTGCTGTGCTGCCCCATTGGACCAGTGTAGACCCCATACAGTGTCTGGTGTGGAGACATTCTGTTCCAGGAATGAAATAATTCCCAGAGAAGGAAAAAGACAGGTATGAGCCTATGTGGCACTAGCAAGCATTGTGAGTACATTGTTGGGATGCCTTCAGTATTCTTTCTGTGTCTCCAAAAAAATAGCTAAAAGTTTCTATTTCTTTCACAATAAAATATTTTTAGACTTGACAAGAAAGAATCATAATGCTTTTATATGCTCCGCAGTTCTGAGGTTATTTTCATTACAGTCAATTTAAAAAAAAATTAGGTCTATTAAAAGAATCCAAGGACTTCTAATCTATTCATTAAAGGATCCATCCATCTTGCTCCTTCAACCTGCAGAGGGAAGGGACAGGCCTCTGCTCCCACCTACTTTTAGCACCCAGTCAAGTCTCTAGCCCACTAGGAAGCCTTGCAGAGATGGGGACCAGGCACCAGGCCATCTCCTTCCTCCAGCTTTGGTTGGGGACCCGGCTATGAGTGCCCCAGATCTCTCAGGCAGGTCCAGGAACAATTTTTCCATGACGTGATCCTTGGCCACAGAGGGCCCCTGGGTGAGATAAAAAGGACTGGGCTGGGCTGAACGGGGGTGGAGGGAGCATCACAATGGCTTTCAGGTCAAAGGCAGGTGTGTGGCTGGCAGGGTCCTGGCTGTGCCTGTGCAAGGTGAGAGCCCTGGGCACCAGTGCAGCTCTGGGTGCCAAGGCAGTGCTGCCCTTTGAAGCCATACCCCAGTGTGCAGGCAACAAGTGGCTGAGGGTGCTACAGATCTGGAAGGAGCAGGGCCAGGAGAACTTGCACCTGCAGATGCACCGGGCTTTCCAGGAGCTGGGACCCATTTTCAGGTAAAGCCCTGCCAAGGCCCTCGCTGAGGATGCCCAGCACCTCCTTCTCTGCTGGCTGCCCAGGCACTGCTCCCTAGGAACATGGGTGGTCTTCGTCCTCCACAAGGCAGGAGGGGGCATGTGGGTTACCGTCCCGAGACTTTGCCAGTGGAGACAAGGACTCCTCCTGTGCACAAGGAAAGCTTGCCTCAGAGGAAGCTGAGAGGGGAAGAGGGCTCAGGCAAGAGGCTCGGGGACTTCCTGTGGGGCAGGCTCAAGTCCAGGAGAAGGGTGAGGTCTGACTGGTCTCCAGAGGGACATCAGGAGAGGACGTGGGATCCAGCAGGGCTTGTGCACGTTCCAAGGTATGAAGTGGGAAGAACACAGATAGTATCTGTGATGCTGCCTGAAGATGCTGAGAAGCTGCATCAGATGGAGAGCCTGCAGCCCTGGCGGAAGCCCCTGGAGCCCTGGATGGTCTACAGAGAGCACCGAGGACAGAAGCCCCTGGGCGTATTCTTGCTGTGAGGCACCAATGGGTTGGGTTGGGAAGTGGAATTGACACTGGGCAGCCTGGAGATGAGGCCAGACCAGCAGACCACAGGACACATGTCCTGGGCTCTGCGGGTGGGTGGACAGTGTCAGTAGTAAGCATGGATGGGTTCCTGTGATGGATGTCCTGGGCAGGGGAGCAGGCAGTGGGGGAGAAAGGCACATGGGGTCTGCACAGGCTAGACAAGGAACACTGAGCCCCTCCCTGAAGGGAGCACCCTCGGCCCTAGGCCTTGGTCCATGTCCCCTCCTGCTGCTGGGTGGCTCTCCTTCCTGTGGGTCAGAAAACCAGCCCAGAGATGTGAAATCCCAGGACCAAAGCCATGGGCAGCATGGGCCAGAATCTGAAGTCCACCAGGGCTGTCCCACCACCCAAGGGGCCCATGCATCCTGGGTCAAGTCAGCCTTCACTTTGGGGAGACAGTGACGGGGAGGAGGTTGGGGATGCGCATGGTGGAGGTCCAAGGCAGCTTCTAGCTCAGCAGCAAGGCCCTGAGCTTCCAGGTCGGTCAGCAGCAAGGGGGTGGCTCCTTACTGGGCACAAGGAAGCAGGGAGAAGATGTGCTTAGGGTGGATCAGCTGCAAAGAGGTTGCCATAAAGAGCAGGAAGTGCTGAGAAGAACCACAGGCTGAAGAGTCCCACACTCCATGTCGGGAAGTGGATTTCTGGGGAAGAGCAGGGCATAGGCACGTGAGTCTCCTGGGCCAGGCCCTCCATGGAGGGCATCTGATGCTGAGGCCAGATGTGAAGGACGGGTCTGGGGGAAAGGAGAGCCAGTGCCCCTGAAGGAAGTGGTGAACTTGTGTGTGTGTGTGTGTGTGTGTGTGTGTGTGTGTGTGTGCGCATGCACGTGCACATTAGGGTGATATGCAGCACTGTGCATACTCGTGGACATGAGTGTCTTCACACATGTGTTTGAGGTCTGTGTGGGCACAGGCGTTGGCGTGGCATGTACCCATGGTTCTCACCATCAGGAATGGGAGGCACTGCCCTAGGAAGAGAAAGGCGTGTGTGCCTGATTGTGGCTCAGGCTGCAAAGCCCTGCCCACCACTGGCACCAGAAGCTCCCGAGGCCCCATGTGCTTGGGATGTGGTGGGTGGATGTGGTGGGAGATTCAGTTTGGACTCTGCACTACAGAAGACAAGGACACTTCAGGGAGCAAGCAGGTGCCACTCTCCAAGCTCCATGGGGAAGGACATGAAGGAGAGGAGTCAGCCTGGCCTCTCCCACCTGAGGCATGGTGTGGGCCAGGCAGGCAAACTTGACCTCAGGTCACCCCCCACCCTGGCAGAAAGCCTGGCCACCCAGGCAGGGCCCACGTGGACGCAGGGTGTGCCTGGCAGCTCCCAGGAATTAGCCCACAGGCCTCCCAGAACTCCAGGGCTACCTGCCCTCATCCCCATTTGAGACTTCCATGGCCATCGCCCAGCACAGGAAGGTCACTCTGAGAGAATAAGGTGAGGCCAGGACATGCAGCTGCCTAGCCCTCGGCCTGCCTTCATCCTTGGAACCACCGAGTCCCTTTGGGTTCCAGGAAGATGGCAGACAGGTTGGGGACCTGTGGGATGCTTGGGGATGCCTCTCAAGCCCTTGCCTGCCCTACAGGAATGGAGCTGAATGGAGATTCAACCGTCTGCGGCTGAATCCAGTCGTGTTGTCAGGAAAGGCCGTGCAGAAGTTCATCCCCATGGTGGACGAGGTGGCAAGAGACTTCTCCGAGGCCCTGAAGAAGAAGGTGCTGCAGAATTCCCGGGGGAGCCTGACCCTGGATGTCCAGACCAGCATCTTCCACTATA